ATGATAAACGTCGTCAGATGTGGATAATAGAATATATATAAATCAAACTATAACTCCTCTCTTTTAATTAAACATGTATGTTTTCCGTTCATTCATCTGACAATAATAATCCAAGAATCTGCTTGTGTTTGGATAATTTTTGCACGCCTTTATTCGAAACCACTAACAAAAATAATGTTCATCATCATTCTCATGCCATCTCAACCTTTATAGTATTACTATGTTTCGCCATTTATATAGATAGGCGTCACTGTTCTATGTACTTGTAACCATTATATCCAAAGTGGCAACACATGAGGACGTACGTGGAGACGCTTAAAAATCTTACAACATCCCATCCATGATCTATTTTATAAATACTAATAAGACAAAAATTTCAAACCAGTTCTTCACCTTTTCAACTCAAATGGAGTCAACGGTTGGTGATTCTGCTAAACTTACACGCTCGGTTGCGAAAGAAATTTCAGGCGAGGAACAAACTATACTTCACAAAGAAAAGGCTGCCTAAAGGGGTAACCTCAGAGATATATTTCTATCTGTTCAGACGCAAATGACATGCTAAGATAGTAAGATCCCTTCCGAGGAATGCAAGAAAGAATAATGCTGTCAAAGATTTTTTTCTTAACATCGAAATTGCCAAGGCAGGCCAACGCAACATTCATATCATTGATTCCAAAGGTCTCTGGAGCTTCTGCTTTAACAGACTTTAGACCAGTCTCACTGTGTAATACAATATACAAAGTGATTTCAAAATTTTAGCTTCTCGGCTTCAAGTTATTACCCAAGAAGCAGTGCAGTGGAATCAAGTGGGGTTTGTGAGGGGTAGAGTGCTTAGCAACAATGTACTGCTAGCTTCTGAGTTGGTGGCAGATTTTAATAAGAAAGGAAGGGTTTCTCGGGGCTGTTTGCAAGTTGATATTACAAAAGCGTACGATAGTGTGGAGTGGAAGTTCATTATTAATATTCTCTCAGCGTTTCAGATACCAAGAGAATTCATTAACTGGATAAGGGAATGCATTACAACGCCTTATTATTCGGTTTCTCTAAATGGGGAGCTGGCTGGTTTTTTCCCCGGGGAAAAAGGTCTGAGACAAGGAGACCCGCTTTCTTCTTCCTTGTTCGTAATGGCGATGGATGTTTTGTCTAAAGATCTGGATATAGCAGCCCGAGAAAGAAAATTTGGACCTCATCCTAAATGTTTGGATCCTTTAGTCACTCATCTAAGCTTTGCTGATGATTTGCTCATATTCTTTGACGGAACTTCAAACTCCCTTAGAGGTATTATGCAGGTGCTTCGTGATTTTCAAGCGAAATCTGGACTAGCCTTAAATCTTAGAAAGACTTGTGTTTTCATAGATGGGGATAATAACTCAGTTGCCTCTTCTATGGCTACCGAGTTCCACATTTCTCAAGGGTCTCTACCAGTCAAGTACCTGGGCCTTCCATTGATGCCTCACAAGATGAAGAAGAATCACTATCAACCTTTAGTAGATAAAATCAAGGCCAGAGTATGCTCATGGACAGCAAGACATCTATCTTTTGCCGGAAGGTTGGAGCTGATTCAGTCTGTTCTTTATAATATTATCAGGTTTTGGGCTGCAGTCTTTCCCTTGCCGAATGGTTGTTTTGATAAATTGGAGCAGATTTTGAATGCGTTTCTTTGGACGGGAGCCGCAAACTCGGCTAGAGGAGCAAAGGTTTCTTGGGAAAATGTCTGTATGCCAAAGGATTCTGGAGATTTGGGCTTACGTCGCTTATTGGGGCTTCATAAGGTCTTTGGACTGAAGCTTCTTTGGAAGATTTTTGAAGGCAGGGATTCGCTTTGGGTTGCTTGGGTGAAGCATCATCTAATTGCAGATCGAAATTTTTGGGATGATGATTTTTCAAATGTTGGTAGTTGGATTTGGAGAAGTCTAATGAAGCTGAGAGACGATGCTAGACCGCGAATTATCTGCAAAGTAAACTCTGGTCGAATTGCTTCTTTTTGGAATGATGATTGGACCCTTCTTGGTCCGCTTCTTGCTATTACAGGACCTACTGGCCCTAGAGTCTCAGGCATTCCACTGGAGGCTACAGTTGCATCTGTTGTTGGGGAGAGAGGCTGGCAGGTCTCCCGTAGCAGAAACCCGATTATATCTGTTTTACGAGAGTCACTTCCACAAGACGTGCCGGAAATTTCATCCTTGGAAGAAGATTTTTACGTGTGGAGAAACTCTGTTAACGATCCACCATCTCAGTTTTCTGTTTCATCTTTATGGGACTCATTGTATCCGCATACTGAGAGAGCTCGGTGGTCCTCGGTGGTATGGTTTAAGAAGCGTATTCCTAAGCATGCTTTTATTACTTGGATTGTCATGAAAGATCGAATGGTGACAAGAGATAAGCTGAGAGATTGGGGACTCGATGTCCCTTCCTTGTGTGTGCTTTGTGGAACAGAAAATGAATCCTCAAAACATCTCTTTTTCGAGTGTGACTACTCAACAGCTTTGTGGAGGAATCTTCTATCTGGTTTTGGCTTGGTTATAAATAACAGATTGGAGGAAGTGGTAACAGCTTTGTTAAACAACAGGGAAACTAAGCAGGTAAAAACCATTATTCTACTGGTATTCCAAGGAGCAATATATCATTTGTGGAAGGAAAGAAATTCTCGAGTTCATAATTCAATTCAGAGACCGTGGGCTCTGTTGGTCAGAGACACAAAATTGCAGATGCGGGCAAAGCTTCTCTCTGTGGATAGAGACAAGAAATTAAAGGCTGGGCGGAGGTCATACCTTTCCATATGGTTTGCGAGATTTCAAGATTAACAGGGTGGTGGAGTTTTAAGTAAAGATCTGAATTGATTGCTTCTTAGTTTCAAATGCTGAGATTGGCTTGCTATTTTTTCACGTATAAGTTTTGTAAAACATTTCAAATATTAATCAGAAAGGGTATCTTGATTCAAAAAAAAAAAAAAGAAAGAAAGAAAGAATAAACCATCATGCTGTAATTCATAGCTATTTTTTTTCATTTTATGATGCACCTCTACTTTTTTTTTTTTTTTTTTGACAACGAAAGGCTGATCTATTACTCAAGCTTGAGGTGGTCTGGGAATCCAGACCGGAATAGAACAACCAACATACATCAGAGTACGGTAAAAAGAACGAGCAGCCTTAGCTAACGAATCAGCCACAGTGTTATGAGATCGAGGAACATAGAAAATGTTAAAATCCGGGAAGCATACACGCAGCGTCAAGAGTCTCTCCAATTCCGTCGAGAAGCTAGGCCAGTCATGGGGATTCCTGAGCATCGCTATCAATTCCTTGCAATCCGTCCCAAAGCTCTGACATGGCGAATGTTGAAGCATATTCTCCATTGCCCACCGCAGTGCTTCCAGCTCAGAGTGCAAAGCCGACTCTACCCGACTCACATTACGCATGCCCATCAACTGGCAATTCCCCATGTTATCCCTCCAGTTCCAGCCACATCCTGAAAATTGATCCGTAGAGGTCCATGAACCGTCTATCAAGCAGAGATCTCCTAGGCTTATGACCTGACCCTCTGGCACTGTGTTCCCTTGCGTTATCACCATTTCCTGCTCATTGGCTTGAAACCAGGCGAGTCACTCACTTTCTGCATACCTGGCTAATTCCAGAGGATCCCTATCGATTCCTCGGAACAGTTTATCGTTCCGAGCCTTCTAGATGTACCATATTAACCAAGGATAAGGGTCCCTATCTAACTCTGGTTCCACTATGGCCTTCTTCCTCCAGAATAGATAATCCATGTTCGCGTATGTGCTCTGCAAAGGAAACAAGGTTGAACTGGTAGGAATGGATGATAATGCCCAAACCTGTAAGGCAGGTGGACATTGAAAGATTGCATGTGCAATTGTTTCATTCGGTTCTCCACATCGTGGGAAAAAGTTGTCACATCGCCTGTGTCTGTGGTTTAAAACATCGGTAACCGCCACATGGCCTGTTATGATCTGCCACATAAGATGACACATCTTCTGAGGTCCTTTAGCTTCCCAGACATGCGCTTGGAGCTTTGTAATGCTAGGTTCACACACAATGTTGTCCTCCTTCTTCAGCAGTATGTTACGCGCTACCCAGTAACCGGACTTGACTGTATATTGTCCACTCCTTGTATAGTTCCAGCAATACGTATCTCTACGATGTGTTGTACTAACAGCCATACTCCTTATGAGAGGTATGTCAGTTGCATCAACATAATTCGCCAACCTCTCCAAATCCCAGGACTTCGTTTCCTGATTAATGAGATCACTCACTCTCATGTTCGGATGCAACATTGGAGCAGATGGAAACGCTGGTCGCGCTGGAACTGTGGGAACCCATGGGTCCTCCCATACTTTCACTTCATAACCTGAGTGTATTTTCTGTCGAACCCCTAGCAACAACAACTCTCGTGCCGACGAGATGCTTGTCCACACGTACGATGGGCTACTGACATTGAGATTTCGCAAAGGCGATCTCAAACGATAATACCTACCTCTCATAACACGAGCTACCAGGGAATCTGGATTTTGAGCCAATCTCCACAATTGCTTTGCCAGCAAAGCCTTTGACAATTTTTCATGACTAATCTAAGCAACCAAATTAGTTTCCAGGCATTTTCAAACATTTTTTTCATGCATCGCATTGATATTCAATATCATGCCAAACATTATTTTTGAATTTGGTCAAACTATGACTATTTCTCTCTCTTATAATCATTACACTGAAATTCAGTATCATACTAAACGCATTGCTGTATTTTATGCCTCAAAGTCAAGGGACAACGAGATAACTATGTCCAATAATTTTTGTTTTTAAAATAAGGACACTTGTGTATTAAACAAAAGAAAAATTGTATAAGGTTTCTTCAGGGACTTCCTTGCCGTGGGGTGCACGAGTTTTGATAATAATTTGTGATAGGTTACTTCATTCAAGCTATTATATTTTTTCTCTTTATATAAGAAGATTGAAAGAGCAATGCTTTCATAAGAAGTACTAAGAGAGATTTGGAATTGAGTGACATGGAAGCTTCTACTCTGCTCAACGGAATCAACAGTATATCCAACTCTATTGGCACAGGAAGCAACTATAATGCATCAGACCCAGTTGTGCATATGTCAGTTTCCGAAGCCCAGAAGCGAATGAATACGCTGGAGAGGGATTATCAACACACCTACAAGAACTACAAAGAAACCCAAGTAAGCATCTACAAATATAACAGAACTATGATTAAAAATCTACTGTTTTTACTAAGCTCAAAAGATGAGATATATATACAACAAGATAATGGTTTTTTTTTTTATCCAGTCAAACAGGCATAGCTTCTACATAAAAGAAAAACATTCTAGTTATCGCAGCAGCCAAGCTGGAGTCTCTATCGGATACTACAAAGATCTGCGAGAGCAACTACAGAATGATCTTGAAAAACAGAATAAAGCAGAAGAACCGCAAAGAAGAACAGAAAAGCCTGATTATGTAAGTCCTTATAACCATTTAATATCATTTTTGTTTTATCATTGTACAAACAAGGTTACTAAGAAATTAAGAATAAAGAAAAAGAGAAAAAATTTGGCCTCCTTCTACTCTTATTATGTCAAGTATAGAAATAATATAACACATATTAGTCAAATCTCCAAAATGGCACATTAAAAACAAAATGATCATAAAGTACCACTTGAAAAAAATAGCACTCATTTTACAAGAAAAATCAAATTACTCTTTTCATAAACCCTATTTCCACAATCCTTCTAAATAGTAAACCATGAAATTTAACCACAAAACCCTAAATTCAAATGCTAGATAATAAATCTTTTAAATTTGTAATAAATGTTGTTTCTTTAATTTTTCACTATGTGTTTTGTCCGCACATGCAGACTTAATTATTTTTAAGAAAATTTAAAAAATCATCAAAATAAATGATTATTTTCATCTAAAAAATTAGACCTAGAACATTAAACGTTTTTACATGAAAAAATTATTCATAAATTAAAAAAAATAAATCTATTTTTCCCTTTAAAACTTTGAAAACAAAATCTAAAATCTGTTTCCTTTCTTCTCAATTGATAAAAAAATATAGAAACTTATCTTTCAATTTGATAAATTGAATCAATAATTATACATTCAAAAATTGATCTTACAGAAAGAATAATATTAGTTTGGATAATAATACAATATATTTGAATTTATTTTCTCAACAACGTATTTTTTTTCTTTTTGAATGATCTTTTATTTTATTATGATTAATTCATGTTTAATGTTATACTTTATAAAATATAAAATAAATTTAATTTAACGTGTGAATTCAGAGGCGAAAAATTACTTCACAAATATATATATATATATATATATATATATACATATATATCATTAGGTTATACTATTATATTTTTTTGAATTAGAAAATAATTACGTATTATAAATTTTTCAATTTTCTCTTTTCAATTATGTACAATTAAAAAGTTTCTTTATGAGTATTTATTTATGTGTTTTTTGTTTTTGATTTTTATTAAAATATATTTTCCGGATAACAACACAATATATATAGGAATTAACTTTTTTTTATAAATATATATTTATATTATGGATAATTCTTATCATTATTATTAATTTAAATCATTTATCTAATCAAATAAATATCAATTTCGTTTTTATTTTATGTCTAATTTATATTTATTCATTAAGGGTATAAACGATATTAACCACTCTAACTTTTAATGTGAGAACTCCGCTGCGAAAAATCACTTCGTAAATAATAGTATAGATTTTCGTTGGCGTGCTATTTTTATAAAATATAGTATTAATGCTATTTGAGGGTTTCTAATATATATATATTTCATGTGTTGGGTGCCGGTTTATATAGGGCAAACAATTCTTGCTGCATGGTTGTAAAAGTTTGGCCCAAGAAAAGAGGATACTACACAAGATGGGAGAAACACCACCACAACAACAACATGAACAACATCTAGAAAACAATGGCCTGGTTTTACAACACAGATACGACTGGGAGGTGATTCAACTGGTACTTTAATAATAGTTTTCGTTTATATCATGAAATTGGCCTTTATACTTACTCTACCATTTTACAGATCAGTTATTTCACTTACAAACAAAGCAAAATTCCAAAAAGTAGCAGCAGCAAAGAAGTACATGGCCTGTTGAGGAGAGTTAAAGACACTGTGAAATTGAGGAGTAAAGTTACTGCCAATGGTGAACTTGTTGAGAACCCAACAACTCGGGACAGTTTGACAGTTTCTATAAAAGTAATCAATATCAAGACCTTGTCCCCCATTTTTACTCTCTACTTTATAATTTTAAAATTAATCAGCCAAATGATCTTTGTTTTCCAACAGATTCTGACAAAGGCAATAAAAAAGCTTGAAAAAGACAGAGAGAGTGAGACGATGCTTGGTAATGATTACGAGGAAAAGAAGAGGCATCTAGACAAAAAAAGTGAATTGATATGGAAGAAATGTGATGAACAAAAGAAGTACATCCTCGAGTTGAAGAAAATACATAAAGATGTTTGTAGTGAACTTTATGCCAAATTCATAGAAGATGAGAAACGTCAGATCTGGAGGAAGACTTACATAAACCACAAAATAGGTCCTCACTATTGATAAACATGCATGTTTTCTGTTTATTCATCTGAAAATAAGAGTTTGATTGTGTTTGTATAATCTTTACACGTCTCCATTATAATCAGCTCACAATATAACATTCATCATTCTCATGCCATCTAGATTTTTACAGTATTACTACTTTTCGCCATTTATATAGACAGGCTTCACTGTTCTAAGTACTTGTAAGCATTATATCCAAAGTGGAAACACATGAGGACGTATGTGGAGAAGCTTAAAAAATTCCAGACATCCATCCAGGTCGCGGCACAACAATATACGTCATAAAGAAAAGTTTGCCTAAAGCTATCATGTTGTAAATCATAGCTATTATTCATTCTATGTTGCACCTCTGCTTTATCAGATGTATTTGACAATATTTCCTCACTAATATAAGAAAACAAATCAGTCTTCAATCATTTCATTATTCAGAATCATGCCAAACATTTCTTTGTGGCTTTGGTGAAACTATGATTACTTCTCTCTCATGTAATCACATTGAAATACACTACTGTGCCAAATATTTCTGTATTTTATGCCTAAAAGTCAAGGGACGAGGAGATAATTATTTCCAATAATTTTTGTTTTAAGAAAAGGACACGGTGTCCAGTGGCGAATCTAGGAGAGTTTATGCTGGGGGCACTAGCATAGGATTTAAATGAGTTATAAACTATTATCATAAGATTAGTTTAAGAAAACAAAAAATGAATCGGGGGCACGTGAGCCCGTTGCAACACGTACGTCCGCCCCTGACTGTGTGAAAGATTGTTTAACAAGAATATTTATAAGGTTTCTTTCGGGGAGGAGTCATTGAATTTTTTTTTTAGGAGTCATTGACTTTCTTGCCGTGGGGTGCACGAGTTTGGATAATCATTTGTGATAGGTTGCTTCATTCTAGCTATTATATTTTCTCTACATATAAGCACATAGAAAGAGCAATGATTTCATAAGAAAAGAGAAATTTGAAACATTCTTGGAATTAAGTGACATGGAAGTTTCTACTCTGCGCAACAATACCAACAATATATCCAACTCTATTGGCATTGGAGGCAACTATAATGCATCAGACCCAGTTGTGCATTTGTCAGTTTATGAAGCCGAGAAGCGACTGAAAAAGATTGCGAAGGATTACAAAGAAACTCAAGTAAGCATCTACAAATATAACAGAATTATGATTACTTGTACTGTTTTCACTTCTTCTCATTTTGCACAACTGATTATATTAAAATTAAAAAATCCTACCGACTGGAACGAACTACAACCGGAGATGTGCTCAACGATAAAAAGATAACAGTCAGAGGTATATTCCATGGTATGATAAACAACAAAAGTAGAATGATAACACAAAGGATAAAGATGTTACAAAGGGAGACTTACTCAAAGTAAAGAAACCTCTGAAAAAACTTCACTTGTACCCTTGAAACGATAGCTCCAGCGAGCATGAAAAAGTCGAGATCGACGTTGAAGAGACCTAACAGATAGTTTTGAAAAATAAAATAAGACTTCACTTGTACTGTTTTTATTAAGCTCAAAATATGAGCTATATACAACAAGATAATGATTTTTTTTTTGAGCCAGTCAAACTGGGATAGCTTCGACATGAAAGGAAGACATACTAGTTATCGCAGCAGCCAAGCTGGATTCTGTATCGGATACTACAAAGATCTGCGAGAGCAACTGCAGAATGATCTTGAAAAACTGAATAAAGCAGAAGAAACGCAAAGAAGAACAGAAAAGCCTAATTATGTAAGTCCTCATAACCATTTAATATCATTTTGGCTTTATTATTGTACAAACAAGGCACTAAGAATAAAGAAAAAGAGAAAATTATTGGCCACCTTTCTACCTCTTTTTATGTCAAGTACAATAATATAATACTAGAACTTGACCCGCACTCTCATGCGAGTATTTGATTTAACTTGTGTTTAATATAAATTCATAAAACTCTATTATAAAAAAAATTATATTTTTATGTTTTATAATTTACAGATAAAGTAGAATATATATTATTTATACATAATATTATATTATAAATTTATAACTTGATGAAATTTGATGTAATTGTACTATTCATATATTATATATTTTTTTGTTAATTTATTTTAAAATAAAACAACGTACCAAAAATTTTTTTTTTGCATTAGTATTCTATGAATTGTCATTAATTTAAAATATATTTTTTTCTTGAAAATTTAACTTTCAAAATTTTATATTTGACTAAATTAAATAAGGTACCTATATTTAAAAATTATTTTATATAATATATACTATATCTTTCATTTTGTGTTTTTATTTTTACCGCAAAGAAAGAAAAACCATTGTAAATAGTTAATTTAAATTGTTTTAAATATAATGACAAAATCTGTAAATAAAAACAAATACAAAAACAGTATTTAATTTATCGTAAATGCAATGGTTAAATGTGAAAATAAAAGAAAGTATTTAATCTACTATTCATGCTCCAAACAATTCTCAATTATCTTGTTATCCTTATTTCCAAACAATACCAAAAGATACTTTAGTTTTAATAAATATAGATATCATAAATAATTGTTTTTTTTGTTTTGATGTTAATATATAAGATTTTATAAAGAAAATTAGTGTTAGTTGTGTTTGTTCTATACATTTAAAATAAAATGTACAAAATCACGTTTAGTTGTTTAGGTTACATGGTTAAATGTAATAAATTTTACTATTATTATAATATTTAATTAATCTAACTAAAAACACTTCGGTTTTCGGGTTTGGTTTAGTTTAAAACCAAACCGAGCCATTTGGGTTGGTAACATCTTGAACCAAATGATTTAGACATATACTTTAGTTCGGTTTGGATCCACTCGGATTGGTTCGATTTGGTTTGGTTTTTTTTTTTGTCCACCTCTAGTTTTGAGGTATTGAAAAATGAATATACAATTCTGATTTATTTAATACACATTATTTTTATATTAAAATTCTAATAATAACCAGAATCTACTACATGATTAGCAAGACTTGAATATAATATGGATATTGTGCTAACTGATTGATATTTTAGATGTAATCGTGCAGTGAAAACAATAATTTAGTACGTTTGTTCGAAGTGCTAAAATATCCATATTTAAAAATCACTAAAACCTGAGAATAACAAATTAAAATGATAGATAATTGATATGTAATATTTAAACCAGTAAAAATAAGTTTATTTTCATTGTTTTATATATTATCTGGATTTTTTAATTTATCTAAATAATTTGAAAGAAAATTGTGAAAATATTAAAAAGGGTGAGATTTAATATTTTGTATTGTTTGGGCATAAGATTAATGATAGTGTTGTTTGGAATTGATAGTAGTATAAAAATGAGTATATTATTTGAAAACATAGATAATAGTACAATGGAATAAATATATTGTTTGGAAACATGAATAGTAGTTTTAAAAAGGAATATTAATAATTTAATACATGTTTACTATTAAGTAGAAAGATGTATTTATTTAAAAACATGCAAAATTAATGTTAGGTGTCAATCCTAATGTTTCTATTTTAATAAGATAGATTACTAAATTTCAAATCGAATGATATTAACTAACCGTGGTATTATTACTATCTTAGGTTTTGTTATGAGTTATATAAGGTTACGATGGCTGGTCAACTTTAATTAATTAGATGGTTGGGGATTTCATGGTTTACCGAAGATCAAGGAAATTAATGGGTAGCAAAAGTTTGAAACGACTGTGTTTTATGCTAATGGCATGGAATGGTAATTTTTTAGAAAAATAAGGTTATTTCAAATTTATACTCCTATTTTAATAGATTAGATGTTAGGGACTTCATGGTTTATCGAAGATCAAAGAAATTAATGAGTAGCAAAAGTTTGAAATGACCGTCATTTATGTTAATGGCATGGAATGGTAATTTTATGAAAAATTAGGATTATTTCAAATTTGTACTCTTGTTTTAATAGATTATATATAATGATCAAATCTCTAAAACAACACATTTTTAAAATCTATCATAAAATTAACACTAAAAATTTAAAACAATGCACATTTTACAAGAAAAAAACCCAATTCCTTCAGCTTCTAAACTTTTATTATACTCACTCTCCTAAGTACTAAACCCTAAATTTTGTAACTACTAAATCCTAAACGAAAATATTATATAACAATTTTTAACTTGTAATAATATTATTTCTTTGATTTTTTTTCTATGTGCTTTCTTTAATAGAGGTGTTTCTCACAAATATTTCATGTGTTTGGATGTCGGTTTAGTGCAAGCAATTCTTGCTGCATGGTTGTAAAAGCTTGGCCCAAGAAAAGAGGATACTACACCAGATAGGAGAATCACAACAGCAGCAACAACAACATCAACCCCCGGAAAACAATGGCCTGGTTTTAAAAGATTATTGGGAGGTGATTCAACTGGTACTTTAATAATAGTCTTCGTTTATATATATCACAAAATTTCCCTTTATACTTACTCTACCATTTTACAGATCATCAAGTTCAGTGACTATCAAAGCAAAATTCCAAAAAGTAGCAGCAGCAAAGGAATACATGATCTGTTGAGGAGATTCAAAGACACAGAGAAGTTGAAGGATAAAGCTACTGCCAATGGTGACAACCCAACAACTCGTGACAGCTTGACAACTTCTATAAAAGTAATCAAAATCAAGGCCCCATTTTTACTCTTTACGACTTTGTGTTTTTCACTGTCTACTTCCTTTAAAATATATATTTTTTTCCAACAGCTTCTGACAAAGGCAGTTAAAAAGCTTGAAAAAGAACTAGGGCAAGAGACAATGATTGGTAATGGTTACGAGGAAATGAAGAGGCATCTATACAAAAAATGTGAATGTATATGGAAGAAATGGGATAAACAAGAGAATTATATCGTCGAGTTGAAGAAAATACATAAAGAGGGGTTGTAGTAAAACTTCTAATACGTCATAGATGATATATAAACTTCAGATTTGGAGTAAGATAAATCCATAAATCAAAATAGCTCCTCACTTGTGAGGAACATGTATGAACAATAATAACTCAAGAGTTTGCTTGTGTTTGGATAATCTTTACACGTCTTTATTCTAAACCACTCACAAAATAACATTCATCTTCATTAATTCTCATGCCATCTCGACTTTTATAGTACTGCTATGTTTGGCCATTTATACAAACAGCCTCCATTGGCAACACATGAGGACCAGGCCCGTTTCTAGGCATGTGCCCAAAGCACATTTGCACAGGACCCATAAATATTTCGTAAATTTTAACTAAGGTTTAGGGTCCTCTGCAAAAAAATTTAAGGCCCTTTTTTTACAGATTACATGTAATTTTCTTATAAATTGCACAGGGCCCAATAAATGTTTGAGACGAGCCTGATGAGGACGTACGTGGATAAGCTTAAAAATGGAAAGTATTCTAATATACCCCAGTTGGAAAATAACTATTCTCACTACCCCACCATTTTTCTCACTGCCCCACTTTTTTTTTTTTTTGTAGTAGTTTCTAGTAATTCAAGGTAGTTTGTTTTTTGTTCATAGTAGTTTCTAGTAATTCAAGGTAGTTTCTAGTAATTCAAAATAATTCAAAGTAGTTTCTAGTAATTCATATTACATATAATACTAATTCATTAAGGGTTATTGATTTTTTAATCACATTTTGATTTTGAGAAAGAAAAAAAAAATCAAATTTATGATGGGTTAAAATAGAATGAAGATGGTAGTGAGTGGGGCAATGTAGAATTTAGTCCCTTAAAAATCCCACAACATCCCATCCATGATCTATTATTTCTAATACTAAAAAGACAAAAGTTTTAAACCAGCCCATCACCTTTTTCCCTCAGATTGAGTCTGTCCCAAGCAAGCAACGGTTGGTTCAAGTTTGTTGGTAATTCTTCTAACACGGTCCAAGCAAGGTTGATGCCGATTATAAGCTGTTACAGCATCAACATAATGTGCTTCAATCTCCCCGTTCTTTTCACAACATAGATTCTTTCTAGATTTAGTAACCAGTATGCTTATCCATATTGTATCATTTAAATACCTGTATTGAGAAATGTTTGAATGATGGGAGGAAGCGGATTTTGCAGTACTCGTTGTAAGCAATAGTGATCAATATGAGAGGTACAGTAACAATTGCTGTAGATGCCTTTGACTTAAGTCCAAAGAGACCCACCATGGTGACTTGCATAAACATGATCGAGACGAAGATATAGTGATGAACGATTCGCCAGAAACGACCACAAAGTATCATATGTCATCTCCTACACAGCTTCCATCTGTGGAAGAAGTTCAAAATGAACTATCATGTTGTAATTCATAGCTGTTCATTTTATGATGCACCTCTGCTTTATCAGATGTATTTGACAATTTTTCATGACTAATCTAAGCAACCAAAATAGTCTCCAGGCATTTTCAAACATTGTTTTCATTGCATGGCTCATATCATCATCACATTGATATTCAATATCATGCCAAACATTATTTTTGAATTTGGTCAAACTATAACTATTTCTCTCTTATAATCATTACACTGAAATTCAGTATCATACTAAACGCATTGCTGTTTTTTATGCCTCAAAGTCAAGGAACAAGGAGATAATTATGTCCAATAATTTTTGTTTTTAAAATAAGGACACTTGTGTATTAAACAAAAAAAAATTGTATAAGGTTTCTTCAGGGAAGAGTCATTGACTTCCTTGCCGTGGGGTGCACGAGTTTTGATAATCATTTGTGATAGGTTACTTCATTCAAGCTATTATATTTTTTCTCTTCATATAAGAAGATTGAAAGAGCAATGCTTTCATAAGAAGTACTTGAGAAAGTTTGGAATTGAGTGACATGGAAGCTTCTACTCTGCTCAACGACATCAGCAGTATCTCCAACTCTATTGGCACGGGAAGCAACTATAATGCATCAGACCCAGTTGTGCATATGTCAGTTTCCGAAGCGCAGAAGCGAATGAAAAAGCTGGAGAGGGATTATCAACACACCTACAAGAACTACAAAGAAACCCGAGTAAGCATCTACAAATATAACAGAACTATAATTAAAAATGCACTATTTTTAATAAGCTCAAAAGATGAGATATACAACAAGATAATGATTTTTTTTTGAGCCAGTCAAACAGGCATAGCTTCTACATGAAAGAAAAACATTCTAGTTATCGCAGCGGCCAAGCTGGATTCTGTATCAGATTCTACAAAGATCTGCGAGACCAACTACAGAATGATCTTGAAAAACAGAATAAAGCAGAAGAACCGCAAAGAAGAACAGAAAAGCCTGATTATGTAAGTCCTTATAACCATTTAATATCATTTTTGTTTTATCATTGTACAAACAAGGTTACTAAGAAATTAAGAATAAATAAAAAGAGAAAAAAATTAGCCTCTTTCTACTCTTATTCTGTCAAGTATGGAAATAATATCGTCAAATCTCCAAAATAGCACATTTTAAAAAAATATCATAAAGTAGCACTCATTTTACAAGAAAAAAAATCAAATTACTCTTGCTCATAAACCCTATATCCACAATCCTTCTAAATACTAAACCATGAATTTTAACCACAAAACCCTAAATTCAAATGCTATATAATAAATCTTTTAATTTTTAATAAATGTTGTTTCTTTAATTTTTCGTTTTTGTTTTCGTTGGCGTGCTATTTTTATAAAATATAGTATTAATGCTATTTGAGTTTTTCTAATATATATATATATATATTTCATGTGTTTGGGTGCCGGTTTAGTGCAAACAATTCTTGCTGCATGGTTGTAAAAGTTTGGCCCAAGAAAAGAGGATACTACACCAGATGGGAGAAACACCACAACAACAACAACAACATCTGGAAAACACTGACATGGTTTTAAAAGACAGATACTGGGAGGTGGTTCAATTGCTACTTTAATAATAGTCTTCGTTTATATCACGAAATTGGCCTTTATACTTTACCATTTTACAGATGAAGAGTTTCAGTTACAGTCAAAGCAAAATTCCAAAAAGTAGCAGCAGCAAAGAAGTACATGGCCTGTTGAGGAGAGTTAAAGACACTGTGATATTGAGGAGTAAAGTTACTGCCAATGGTGAACTTGTTCAGAACCCAACAACTCGGGACAGTTTGACAGTTTCTATAAAAGTAATCAAAATCAAGACCTTGTTCCCCATTTTTACTCTCTACTTTAAAATTTTAAAATTAACCAGCCAAATAATCTTTGTTTTCAACAGATTCTGACAAAGGCAATAAAAAAGCTTGAAAAAGACAGAGCGAGTGAGACAATTCTTGGTAATGGTTACGAGGAAAAGAAGAGGCATCTAGACAAAAAAAAGTGAATTGATATGGAAGAAATGTGATGAACAGAAGAAGTACATCCTCGAGCTGAAGAAAATACATAAAGATGTTTGTAGTGAACTTTATGCCAAATTCATAGATGATGATAAACGTCAGATTTGGAGGAAGAGATACATAAATCACAAAATAGGTCCTCACTATTGATAAACATGCATGTTTTCTTTTTATTCATCTGAAAATAAGAGTTTGATTGTGTTTGTATAATCTTTACACGTCTCCATTATAATCAGCTCACAAAATAACATTCATCATGCTCATGCCATCTCGACTTTTATATAGACATTCTATGTACTTGTAACCATTATATCCAAAGTGGAAACACATGAGGACGTATGTGGAGAAGCTTAAAAATTTCCAGACATCCATCCATGATTGATCTAAGTAGACAAAAGTTTCAAATCAGCTTCAAATAGAGTCTGTCCCAAGCAACGGTTGGTTCAAGTTTGTTGTTGATTCCTCCAAGCTTACACGCTCTAAGCAAGGTTGATGCTTGTTATAAGCTGTTGCAGCATCAACATAATACGCTTCAATCTCCCCGTTCTTTTCATCTACTTCGTCTATTTCAACTGCCGTCTGCACCAAGAAACACCATAAATTCTTTCTAAATTTAGTAACCAGTATGCTTTATCCATATTGTCTCATTTAAATACCTGTATTGGGAAGTGTTTGAATGATGGGATGAAACGGATCTTGCAGTACTCATTGTAAGCTATAGTGATCAATATGAGAGGTATAGTAGCAATTGCTGCAGATGGTTTTGACTTAAGCCCAAATAGACCCACCATGGTGACTTGCATAAGTATGATTGATACAAAGATATAGTGGTGGATGATTGGCCAGAAACGACCGCAAGTATCAAATGTCATCTCATACACATCTTCCATCTGAGGAAATAAAAAAGAGAGTTATATAATGCCAAGCTAAGATCTTAAAAGGGTTTTAGAAAAGCTAGACCTGGTTGAAATAGACAATGTATCCTAGGCAAAAATAGCCAACTAGGAAAGGGAGCATCAATGGTGCTACCACTGCATAGATCATACCAATCATTATAGATAATGATACTGTGGGGATAACCCTAAAATATGGAAATGAAAAGAGATAAGTGTTGTTCTCTTTTGCTCTTCCATAAATGCATGATCTTATGATGTCAAGTGTTATCAATCCCAGTTGAAGAATCTCCAAAGAGAATCCAGACAGCCCATCTGTCAAGATGTATGTCATGAAAAACTCTCCCTGTAACACAAAAGCAAGTAAGAAAATTCCAGAATTGTAATATTCTTGTAGAGCACGGCACAGGCTTTACCTGAGCTGAAACAGCAGCAGCAAGGTGACTAGGGATGTCTCTAGGATGAGTGAAATATTCTCCAATTTCATCTAGCAATGAACCAGAGATTAGACTCAAGAAGAAAACATTCCCCATTAGAAAATAGAAGACCATATTGCAAGCTTTTATTTCCTCTTTGCTTTTGGAGATAGAACCGCCGAGATAAGCCATCCCAAGCATAGCGTAAGGGACAATGTACATGAAACCTTTGAGTATTGCACTTGGGAGGTACCCTGTGACAACTGAGCTGAGCCCTGGTCTGTTGCAAATAACAAAACCCACCTTGTTAGTGAAACATTGTCAACAAAATTGTCAAAATTTTATTAGGTAATATACATAGACATACCAAATTATTATTATTTTTTTATTACAGTTATTACTAAATATCTATGCCTACGAAATCTGAGGGCCGGCCCTTGAGGAGAAGAGAAAGCTTACATGAATTCAATAGCCATGGCTGGAGGAAACCATTTCTTTAGCTTCTCATACTTTGCTATTCCCTGGACAGCTGTGACTGGAATAGCAAAGAAAATTGTAAGTGCTGCTGCTGCAAGGATGACACTGATCTTGTATAGAGGCAATAACTTTTGGGGGATAGCAAGATTTCTCCATGACACATCTCTTGGTTCAGGAGCCATTTCAGTGATCAGTTCTAGAGGATTTGAGTGCTGCTGAGTTTGAGCTACCAATGCAGCACTTCTTCGGGTTTTGAAGGTGACAAATGCAACAGGTAACTCCTTCATCAACATAAAAGCAAAATTCGGTAGAGTTATACAAATATCTTAACATGTTGTATGCCAAATTTAACACACTGCTCTGTTTTGATTGAGCTGCAATGCAGTCTCTTCCTATAGTTTTGTTTTGGAATTTCATTTAGAACATTGAGATGTTTTTATGGTTATATAACTACTCTTCAAGATTCATGCAAGCCTCTATATCAGTTATTTATGGTTACATAACTTTTCTTCAAGATTCATGCAAGCCCTATAGGATAACAGTTGTCTACTTTTGAGCACAATACACTATAAACATAAACTCTGACCTCATGAAAGTACCTTCTCTTTGAGCATGGTTTCACTTTGAAGGTGGGAAACTTTATGGGAAAATTCTCGAAACTTTTCTTCAGAAGTTGATATCCTCTTGTGTTCTTCTGTGACTCTCTTTTCTTCTAGCTCTTTCTTAAGATTCTTCTGCTTCCCCTACATATATGATCCTACCATCATTTTTTTCAGAAGAAAAAAATGCTATAAACTTGACAATGCAGAGAAGTTATGATAAAAATATTATGGTGTTACACTATGAAAAGATGATACCAATAGTGGCAAACCATACCAAAAGGTATTCAATATCTCTTCCGTCGTACAACATCTGATGTGAATGATAACTGAAAGGATGATGTTTAGAGAAGAAGTGATCAACACCGCAGCTACGAGTCTTATGCTCAGGGCAGATTGGAACTTGCCGGACAAGAACAGTGAACTGGTCAGCACGATGACTAAGTTCTCTCATTTGTTGAAGCCTTTTCACAAGTATCTCTTTAAATTCCTAGTTGTGAGTATCCAGCAAATTAGAAACAAGATTGCTGAATTATGCCATGATAGATAGACAAAAGTAAAAGCTTACCTTATACAACAAAAACAACGCATAGAATGATATGAACCACAAGCATGAAAAATGCACCCACAACCTAGGAAAGTTTTAAGACTAATAAGAAGTCTCTTAAGAAAACAACTCTTAGATGATGAAAGAAAAGGACATAAGGCGTACTTGTTAGAACCTCGTGCGATATTTGATATAGTGAAAGCATCCATCGAATACTCCCTTCTCGTAGGTAAATCTGACTCACTGTAATAATCAACCGGAAGAAGTAGTGACACTCCAAGTAACGAACACAACAAGAAGAATCTGATTCTGCAAAACATTACAAGACAAGAACATGTTAAGTATATGTGGTTGTCCCCTACCAAAACCAAGTATCATACGGAATCCAAATATTTTAGATTTTTAGTATTATTCGTATAATACAAAGTCTAACATGTAACCAATAATACATCTACTTAGGGCTCAAAATATTACCATACATAATCCTCTCGTTTCAATTTAGTTGTGTTTCAATTTAGTTCGTTTAAAAATATTGTCATTTTATAATTTCAACAAAATTTATTAATTTTATCTATCACTTTATTTTTTTATTGTCAATATGATTAGGTATATATATATTGTTTTTTATAGAAAATATGTAAAATTAAATATTTTTTAATTTTTGTGCAATAACTAAATTGAAACCGAGAGAATACTAAACATCTAATGAAACCAAATTCTCACCCGAATTTGAAGAGCCTCATGAGGACGAGAGCGTCGAGGCCATGACGGCGAAGGATGTCGTCCTCAGGGACACGAAAGGCTCTTGGGATCCAAGCAACGGAAGGAAGGAAGCGAGGGAGGGTGAAGGAAGAGTGGAGAGGAAGAGCGCGGTGGCGATCAGAGAGGAGGCGAGCGTAGTAGATGATGGCGTTACGTGGCTGCTTCTTAAGAACGGAGAAGAGCCAGAGTGCGAGGATGGCGAGTCCTATGTTGATCGACGCCGATGCTATCAAGCTCTCTGGCGTCATCTCTGATCTCTTTTTTCTTTTCTTCTTTGTCTCGCTATTATTGTGAAAACAGAGTCATGTTACGTGGCCTTTCTGCATGTAATGAAAGGCCTCCACGTCCACGCCGCTTTTTTCTCTAATTACGCTGATACTTTTTCTAAACTTTTTAGCACACTTTATCTATATAAAATATAGAGATTATACCCTAAAATTACATTTCTCATTTTCCAAACACAAAAAAAAACTTTCATTACTGGATTTCGTGGCTTTCGTATAATTTTATTTTGATATAAAAAGTATTCTCCAAGTTTTTTCTTTTTTCAAAAGTCCTGTGATTTCACCAATTTCTTATAAAATTCCATCCTCATTGATGAGTGTCATTGTTTATTTCACGCCAAAATATATGAATTAGCACAGAAAACTATTGGTAGCTAGTGCTTGCCACAGTTGAGTTTACCTTAACTTCATTTCACCATTTTATACATACTAAAAATAAAAGATCTATTTAAGATAAAATATTTGAAAATATTTTTCTTGTAGAATTTATAAAAGTATTTCGACTATAACTTATTAATCGATATCAATCCATGATATATTGTTTTTTTTTTTGTTACTGAGGCTGATCTATGGTATATTGTTAAATAAAACATGTTTACAAGTATAATTTAAGTAATTGAAAATGAAAAAAAGATATGGATACGGAGCAAAAACCAGTGGTCTCTAATAACTTGTACCCCACCAAATCTAAAGTTTGAACCCTTCTTGTTACCAGTCTTTCATATAAAAAGTTCCGAAACTATAAATCTACTAAGAAAAAAAAAAGAAGAGATTTATGTAACTGTAAAAGTTTTACTGTAGAAATTAGTCTGTAGAGTTTTTTGATTTAGCTGTAAGAGATGTAGCTTTAAAATTATCTACAGCAAAAAAGATGTAGCTTTAGAAAAAAAGGATTTTACAGCAACTTTTTTAGTTTTTGGTTGTAGCTTTAAAAAATAAGATAAAGCATGATTGGTGATTTAAGAGCTGTAAATAAAAAATAAAGCTAAAGTCAGCACTTACAACCCAACCAATCAGCCCCCAATGTATTTTTGTGCGTCTCTTCTTTCCTCGAACACTAGTCCGATGAAATGGTTGCCAAAAAAAAAATCCGATGAAATGAAAATAAATTATTTTTCAAATTTTATGCAAAAACAAAAAAGAAAATACATTATTTTTAAAACATTGCGAAAATAAAATAGAGTTGAGCAAGTTAAAAGTCAAAATGAGAGGTGGTGAGCTGTAAACTTTCTCTCCCAACCACATGTTTAGATACGCCCCTCTCGTCTGACGTGGCATCCAAACAACGCCTAACTCTCTCTCCGCCACTCGCTCGGCACGTGACACTTCCTAAAATGGGCCCCACTCTTCTCTCTTTGTCTCCTACTGTAACTCATTTTGTTTGTAACCATATCCAATGTTTTGAAGAAGAAGAAAGAAGAATTCTTCTGACTCTAAAGGTTTTTCGGTTTAATCTTAATTAATTTATTGTTAATCAGTTTTAAAACTCTTGAGAATTACGTTAAGAGATATGTTAATCTCATTGGTTTTTATTTTTCTTTGTTTCGTGGTGGAGACGGCAATGTGTGGAGCAATCAGGGAGTGTGATTTGGGGTCTCTGATTCGGTTCTGTTTCTAGAGTCATGTTTGATTTGGACCATGAAGAGGTAGAGTCTCAATCTTTTGCTATTACATCTAGAGTCATGTTCTATATATCATTCTCTAATTTGCTAGCTGGTTGTGGAGAAGAGAGATAGTTAAGTGGTTTTGATTACATTTCATTGTTCCTGTAGCTTTTCATATTCACAGAGAAGAACCAGATGTTTAGCCTTTGATTTGCATTGAAGAAGAGATAGAAACTTGAATGTTACAAGTTAGGTAAGAAGCGTAGTTTGGATTTAGGGTATGGTAGAGAGACTAATGATTAGGGGAAGATGTGTTTTATTTATGTTATCTAGTTTTATAGTCAAGTTTTTTTCACTTTTTTAGTGATCAGTCAGTTAAATATTGTGGAAAGTGTGCCTATTTTTTTTTATATTCATGCTCTTATATATTCAGTTTTATTTCAGTTTTGGTCCCATGTGGATGTCACTACTTGCTTGTGCTTGATTCTTATTTTGTTTATGGTCTTAACCTGTTTTTTCAGCTTACTAATATGATATGGGGTGATGACGGTGAGACAGGCGACCATATTGTGCCTTTGAGAGTAAGAAGTGAACAACTTAACAGGAAGGAACTTAGCAACGAATCTAATAAGGCAGTTAAGCCATCTGAGCAGACTAAGATTCAACACAATGTTGATGAGAGGATATCTAAGCAGGATTTCTGTATGAGCTCATGGCTTGGCTCATCGCTATCCAATGCCAGAGAAGCTGATCCAGGTTCAAGTGTCACTGAACTTTCCAAATGCTTAGCTAAGCCAGCGAGATATAGTTCAAAGACAGGTGGTGCGTTTCTTGAAACAATGCTGTTTTGATTGGGTACGTTCTTTCAAATCTAATCATCTTAAAGTTTTGTGCTCACTCACCCTGTTTTACCAGAGAAAACGTCTGAACTTTGGAAAGGCCCTGATATTTTTCATAGCACTGATGAGAGTAAAGAGCAGGGTGATTTTGATGAGTATGGATGGGCTAACATTGGTAGCTTTGATGATCTTGATCGAATGTTCAGGTAAAGCTTGTTCTCATCCTGGCTGATGGTTATGTCAAAGCACATTGGGTCTCTATCTAACACAATATCCCCACAAGTGGTGATTTTGCAGCAATGATGTCCCTATATTTGGCGATGGAAGAAGTCTCAGCGGTGGGGATGAGTTATGGTCTTCTTCTAAAGATGTATCCAATAGTCCATCAAAACCATCAGTTTTGGACTCGGAAGATCTGGGATTGGATTTTAGAACTGTGTCTGAGCAGCAAGAGAACCAGCAATTTCCATTGACTGGAAAAGCCAATGATCTGTCATCTCAAAGTGTGCCTAGTGTAGGTGTAACCCCAAAATTTGAGCAGTATCATGAGCATAAGTGCCAACCCTCAGTTGAGGACCAGGTACGATGCACAGTTTCTATCAATGCAGATGGGTAGCATTAGTTTCCTCTTCAGATTATTATGTACAACTCCACAGAATCTCATGTGTTTCATTTCCTTTTTCTGTCCAGACATATCAACAAACTAAAATAATGAAGTTTTCGGAAACATCTGGCACTTCTGAGGCTGGAGCATTTCATGATTCATACGGTCCAAGGACACTGTCCAAGACTTCACCTGGAAAATTTGTAAATCAGTTGGCTATTAATCTGCAGAGTGAGTCTCAAGGGTCTGGGACACCACACTATCCACATATGCCAAACCAATACATGGCTACTTCTGGTTTTGGTAATCATACCAATCCATATTCTACTGTGCCTGTAATTTCAGCCGTCCAAATTTCTGATGTTAAAAATCAGATGATGCATCCTTCCTACAATCCTGCTTCTGCCATCTCCCTAAACATGGTAACAGATGCCTCTGCACGACCTTCAACAATGACGCCACAGGAAAAACTAGAGAAACTTAGACGCAGACAGCAGATGCAGGCAATGCTTGCCATTCAGAGACAACAACTTCGCCATCAGGTTCAGGTTCCTCTAGCAGATCAATACATTACTCAGAACTGTTGTCAAGATAATCCACTACAGCTTGTCGACAAAGCTAATCTTCAAGGGCTAACTGCAATGCCTTCCTTTGATACTAGTTCATCTTTGGAACCAGGTGATTCTGACAACTTTGCTGCTGCTGCTGCTGTTGATAATCCATCAGAATTCTCTGTTCTTTTTCGACTTCAAGATGTTGTAGCAAAGGTACTCAACTGGTTGGTTGCTTTGTTATGTTTTGAAAAGAAGCCATGATCCTATGGTAACTAATACTCTTTATTGACCTGTAGTTGGATATGGGAACAAGGACTTGCATACGGGATAGCTTATTCCGGTTGGCTGAGAGCGCAGGTCAGAGACATCACGCTAGTGATAAGACTAGCCAGGATGACCAGGAGGTTACTCCTAAAGAAAAATCTAGATATAGGTAAGCAAGTATATAAAATGCTGCATTTTTAGATCGTTAAACTCCATGCATAGTGTTTTGTTATTGTGGGGTAACCTTTTATATATGATACAGAGTTCATAGGAGAAATGATTTATCCGCATTAGCATACGTCCCTTGTTCTTTATTGAATCAATTTACGCAGCAAGAACCATCTTAGATGCTGCAAGCATATGCATTAACACTCTTAAATAGACTTACATCATCAAAATCAGTATGTGGTTAACATAGCTAGCTCTTGTTTTTTTTTTTGTTGTTGTTACAGATATGGTGGGATGCTAGATACAGAAACAGTGACCAATCCCACAGACAGAACTGTGGCTCATTTGCTCTTTCATAGGTCTTTTGATAAGTCGGCGTCAAAGCATATGGAAGGACCAGAATCACCAGCTTTTTCAAAGATGGGAACTGAAGAAAAAGGGAAGTTTCCTAAATGCAGCACACGAGAGAGTGACATAAATAAGCCGAAAGCGAAAGAGGAGGACATGCATGCAGGTTCACTTGCTTTAGGGAATGCACCCAACTCTGGATCCAGTAGTACTGTTGCTTTCTATTTAAAACCACTTTAAATATATAATAATGAAACAAAGATACCAACAGGTCCACTGTAGCACATAGGTTATTTGGGACATTTTTTAGTATTTTTTTTGTTTTGGTTAAAAATGTAATTTTTATGTTTTTGTTGTCATATTTATGAATAAACTATTGGTTTAGTCAAATAAATTAGATATTGGTGTATAAGCTCACATTCTATTGTCGCTTAGTTCACACTTCCTAACATAGATCATACTATGAGATTGAAGTTGAGCATATTGAGCTCATCAAAGCATCCAATGTTCTATTTATATAGCATGAAAGCTAAATTTGGAGATCTTTGATGTTTTATGATGAAAAATGTTTGGCATATAATTTTTTTGATCAGTTTAACTAAATTTTCATGGATTAGTGACAAAAAAAAAGTAACCAGTTTTTCACGGTAAAATTTTTCGTAGTCAACGACTTTATTGTTTAAGTAACATCTTACATTATTTTCAATGGATATTTACTTTTTGAGTAATATTTTATATTTTTCCGTAGTCAACGATTTATTGTTTAAGTATGATTTTATACTATTTGGGAAACAATATCTGATTCATGTTTAGATTTTTTGTTGACTATGTATTTGTTTTTTTCTATTTAAATGTTTTCATAACTATGGACAATTTTTAGATTATTTTTTTGAGGTGGAGTTGCAATATGAAAATGAAATTTCAATATTTTTGTTCTTATGTTTGAAAATAAACTAATGGTTTAGTAAGACACGTGAGGCTTTGGAAGTTTTAAATAATTCTCTATGTTACATTATAATTAATTTTGCTTTTTATATATAGACAGTTTTTTCATTGATAAGTGATTTATAATTTTATATTTGTATCTATGGTCTATGTAGTTTAAATTTAATTATGTTAATATAATTGTCTTTATATTTGTATTATTTAAACCTTCAAATAAGAGGATGCAGTGATGGTAATTTTTGTAAACATATTTTAAACAGCTAATGTAGGCAATCACATTAAAAAATAAAAATAGTAATGAGAAGAATGCAACCGGTTATCACTATTTGCATGTACACTTTAGTATTTTTTAGTTCTTGGTTTATTTTAAATTTTGTATTCATTTTATTTGACAAATTGAATTTGAATATACTACAATTATTTCTTATTGGTATATATGTAGATTTTTTCTTTCTTTTCTAGCACATAGTTTATGTTATCGTAGTTTATGATTACGTTAACAGTTTTAAATTGATTTTGATACAAATCATGAAATTGAAACATATTTTATAACTATAATCAATTTATTAAGGTTAAGACCAAGTTATGTTTATTAATTCATAACTTCTTTACTATTCAACATATAATAATGTTGTAATTTTTGGTGTATTAGAAAAACTTTTAGAATTTGCCACCTATATATACCCCTACATTCCGATTGCATTATACAACTCATCCATACCTCTAAACAATCCTCCAAAATTTAACACATGAGTCAGATATTTTGCGTTCTACGCCACAAAACGGAACCATCTTTGTCATCTCCAAAAAGAACCATTACCATGAAGATAAAGAGGGCAAGGACACATCAAACAAAAATTGTGATATCCGTCGCCCTGAAGATAGCAAGCAATGCCCACCTGATCCACAATACGGTAGGCGATATGGAGTACATGCTTGAATACCATGAAATTGATTTTGATTCGGTGATGGAGATTATGGAGCAGACTTCTAACTTTGTCGCATGCACTACTATGACGCTCGATGATCCCACAAGTAAAAATCTTGATATAATTGTTAAGATATATGATCACAACCTAGACGCTTTCCCCAGAATTTACCTAGACGTCTATATCATGAAAGCTAAATTTGGAAATTTTTGATGTTTAATGGTTTATGATGAAAAATGTTTGCCATATAACTTTTTTAGTCAGTTTAACTAAATTTTCATAAATCGGTGACAAAAAAAAGTAACCAGTTTTCCATGGAAATTTTTTTCCTAGTTAACGACCTTATTGTTTAAGTAACATCTTACATTATTTTCAATGGATATTTACTTTTTCGAGTAACATCTTACATTTTTCGTAGCCAATCACTTTATTTTTTAAGTAATATCTTACATTATTTGGCATATAATATCTGACTCATGTTTAGATTTTTTGTTCACCATGTATTTATTTTTTTATTTAAATGTGGTTATAACTATGGACAGTTTTTTATTTATTTTATTGAGGTGGAGTAACAATATGAAAAATGAAATTTCAATATTTTTGTTCTTATGTTTGAGGATAAACTAATGGTTTAGGAAAACTCATGAGGATTTGGAAGTTTTAAATAATTTTCTATATTACATTATAATTAATTTTTTTATATATAGACAGTTTTTTATTGATAAGTGATTTATAATTTTATATTTGTATTTGTAGTCTATATAGTTTAAATTTAATTATGTTAATATATTTGTCCTTATGTTTTCATTATTTAAAGCTTCAAAGAAGAGGATGCAGTGACAATATACGCAATCACATTAAAAAGTAAAAATAGTAGTGAGAAGAATGCAACCGGTTATCTTTATTTGCATGTACACTTTAGTATTTTTCATTTTTTGGTTTATTTTAAAATTTGTATTCATTTTATTTGACCAATTGAATTTGAATATATTACTATACTTTCTTATTCATATGTATGTAGGTTTTTTCTTTCTTTTATAGAACATAGTTTATGTTATTGTAGTTTATTAGTACGTTAATAGTTTTAAATTGATTTTGATACAAATCTTGAAACTGAAACATATTTTATAACTATGATCAATTTATTGAGGTTAGACCAAGTTATGTTTATTAATTCATAACATCTTTACTATTCAACATCTATTAATGTTGTAACTTATGGTGTATTAAAAAACTTTTAGAATTTTCCACCTATATAAATCCCTACACTATGATTCAATTATACAACTCCTCGATACCTTTAAACAACTCCTCCAAAATTTAAACATGAGTCAGATATTTTGGGTTCTACGCCACAAACAATAACCATGTTTATCATCTCTAAAAGAACCATTACCATGAAGATAAAGAGGACAAAGACACAGCAAACAAAAATTGTGACATTCGTCGCCTGAAGACAGCAAGCAATGGCCACCTAATCCACCATACGGTAGGCAATATGGAGTACATGCTTGAATACCATGAAATTGATTTTGATTCGGTGATGAAGATTATCGAGCAGACTTCTGACTTTGTCGCACGCACTATTCCGACGCTCGATGATCCCACATGTACAGATCTTCATATAATTGTTAAGATATCTCATCACAATCTAGACGCTTTCCACAGAATTGACCTAGACATCTATATCATCTTTTTGGCTAGGGATGGGTTCACTTCGGTTTTCACGAAGCTCGATGATATAGACGTCTAGGTCAATTCTGCGGAAAGCGTCTAGGTTATGATCAGATATCTTAACAATTATATCAAGATCTGTAATTGTGGGATCATTGAGCATCGAAATAGTGCGTGCGACAAAGTCAGAAATCTGCTTGATAATCTCCATCACCGAATCAAAATCAATTTCATGGTATTCAAGCCTACCGTATCGTGGATTAGGTGGCCATTGCTTGTTGTCTTTAGGGCGACAGATATCACAATTTTTGTTTGTTGTGTCTTTGGCCTCTTTATCTTCATGATAATGCTTTTTTTTAGATGATAAAGATGGTTTCATTTTGTGGCGTAGAACCCAAAATACATGACTCACGTTTAGATTTTGGAGGAGTTGTTTAGAGGTATGGAGGAGTTGTATAATGGGATCGGAATGTAGGGGTTTATATAAGTGGCAAATTCTAAAAGTTTTTTTATACACAATAAGTTACAACATTAATATATGTTGAATACTAAAGAAGTTACGAATTAATGAACATAACTTGGTCTTAATCTTAGTAAATTGATCATAGTTATAAAATATGTTTCAGTTTCAAGATTTGTATCAAAATCAATTTAAAACTATTAACGTAATCATAAACTACAATAACATAAACTATGTGCTATAAAAGAAAAAAAATCTACATATATACCAATAAGAAAGAATAATATATTCAAATTCAATTTGTCAAATAAAATGAATACAAAAGTTAAAATAGACCAAGAAATTAAAAATACTAAAGTGTACATGCAAATAATGATAACCAGTTGCATTCTTCTCATTATTATTTTTACTTTTTAATGTAATTGCCTACATGGGCTGTTTAAAATACGTTTAAAAAAATATTATCACTGCATCCTCTTATTTGAAGCTTTAAATAATAAAAACATAAATACAATTATATTAACATAATTAAATTTAAACTATATAGACCACAAATATAAATATAAAATTATAGATCACTTATCAATAAAAAACGGTCTATATACAAAAAAAAAGCAAAATTAATTATAATATAATATAGAGAATTATTTAAAACTTCCAAAGCCTAACGCGTCTTACGAAACCATTAGTTTATTCTCAAACATAAGAACAAAAATATTGAAATTTCATTTTCATAATGCTAAAATCCACCTCAAAAAAAATCTAAAAACTGTCAATAGTGATGACAACATTTAAATAAAAAAAACAAATACATGGTCAACAAAAAATTTAAACATGAGTCAGGTATTATATGCCAAATAATGTAAGATGTTACTTAAACAATAAAGTCGTTGACTACGAAAAAATGTAAGATGTTACTCGAAAAAGTAAATATCCATTGAAATAAATGTAAGATGTTACTTAACAATAAAATCGTTGGCTACAGAAAGTTTTACCATGAAAAATTGGTTGCTTTTTTTTGTCACCGATCCATTAAAATTTATTTAAACTGACCAAAAAATTATATGCCAAACATTTTTCATCATAAACCATTAAAAATCAAAGATTTCCAAATTTAGCTTTCATGCTATATAAATAGAACATTGGATGTTTTGATGAGCGCAATATGCTCAGCTTCAATCTCATAATATGCTCTATGTTAGGAAGTGTGAACTAATCGACAATAGAATGTGAGCTTATACACAATATCCCCAATATGTTAATTGGATATCATTTAAAAAGTTATAACTTTAAGTTTGTATTGATTAAAAATAACTTCAATTCTATGTGGCATATTTCTTCGCCTTCTAAATTCTGTTTAACACAATTCTAGATCACTTTATATATACCACAGTTTAAACATATATTTACTAGAAAGATATTGGTCACATATCTTATTAATTTTAAAAAATTATTATTCACTATTTTCTTAAATAAAATCTACCGAATTACCTAATGTGATTAAAATATATATGACAATTAATCATTTCATTAATAAACATTTGTATACCCTCTACCATTTTTGTTTAAATATTTTTTTATTAAAATAAATTACACAATCACATTATATATATAATAAAAAAAATCGTATATATTGTATTTTCAATTTTTTAAAACGGGTATAAATTATTAAACTGTTAAAAGTCTCAAATAATCTTTTTATGATCAATTGTTTAAAATTTTATTATAATAAGATACACATAATTATAAAATACATGAGTAAAAATTATTATTTATATGTTTATATTAATACATATATATATAATTTAAATTAAATTACATACCAAATAAAAATAAAGACTCATATTTTGATATTTTCAATGCTAAAATATTGAGAATTTAATATTTTAGATTTAAAATTTGCATTCAGTTTTTAATAGTTAAAAATTTTGTTATAAAATATATTCATAATCATAAAACCATATAATGAGAAAATTCATTTAATAAACATCCAAATTAAATATATTATATATATTGTTAATGTCATTTAAGAGTTGTATCTTATATACGATGGATAAAATTGATTGTTTTGATTTATTTACAATAAAATGATTGTTAATAAATAAGAATGATCGTTTGATTTAAATGCACGCACCAAATTATTTATATACATATTGAGTTCTCATTTATTCAATTAATATATTTCTTATTTATTATTTGATAATATGTAGAAAAATATTTATCCTCAGCAGATCTTATATAAAAAATAAGAAAAGAAAATGAAACACAATTTTATTTGTTTGATTTCATCATATACAACAAAATCCCGAATGAATAATATATAAAGCAAGATCCACGATACTTAAAACTGTTTTCCCCACCATTTATAAATGATTATATAAATAATCTTAAATTCTATTTAATTTACAGACCGACCAATATATCAATTTTTTTCTCATAACTAAAATGTTTGTATTTTTATTTTTTAAAGTCACTCTACGCAAGACGCAGATCTTATCCTAGTCTAATTTATTTGACTAAACCAATAGTTTATTCATAAATATGACAACAAAAACATAAAAATACATTTTAATCAAAAAAAAAATATTCATAATAAAAGAATAAAAAATCTCTATACTTATAACAATATTTAGTAAATAAACATAAAATGGCTAACAAGAAAAAATAAAATTATTAAAAAACAGTCAAACACTAAATACATATGTTACATGGAAATGGAAGCGGAAGCGGAATCGTATGGAAGCGCGGATTGGAGATTTTTAAAAAAAATTAGGAAGCGGGTACGTTTGGAAGTGTATATCGAAATATACATATATATATATATATAAGAAAATTTTGTAAAATTTATAACTAAGAATTATATGATTCTAATTTATTTATTCAATTATCATAATTTAAAATGATTTCATATTATAATTGTGAAAATACGAATAAATTAAGTTTATAAACAAATATTACCAGTTAGTTATTGTTTACATTTAATAAATAATTGGCACATAATATTTGAATATATATATATATATATATGATATATATCTAATAAAATTAGTGCTTACATATGATTTATAGTATTGATATTAGTATTTTTATATATATATATATATATTCTCACTATATATATTTTATAAAAATAAAATGATTTTATATTTTATTTATTTATATATGATATTGTGTTTTTAAAATTAGAAGCGTGATTACAAAGTGGAATTTAGAAGCGTTTTGGAATCGAGATTCTGTAAGCTTCCATAAGGTTCTGATTTCGGTTCCGAAGCAGGAAGCGCACGTCTGAAGAAGCTTCCGTGCAATATAGCTAAATACTCATTGAGAAAATAAGCTCTCTCACTTATTTCTATACTTTCCATTTTGGATACATTGACGAATGGGTTCGCATGAACGTAAGCAGCCCGGTTTGTCGGGACACTGGTTACTGATTTATGATAAAAATCACAATCATAAAATTTATTTACATTCTCTAAAAAAATTAAGTATAAATTATTATTTTTTAGGGATAAGCTCGCGCACTTGAAATGAATAAAAATATCATTTCACAACTTTAAAAAGAAAACCCAAAGGTCAACCTTTGTGGTTCTCAAATATTGGAAATTTTCTTTAAATTACATTTAATGATAATATATTATAACACACATTGTATCATTTTTTCAGTCAACTTGATACACATATATTGTATCCATCATTCAGTTTAGTTATCACATTCACACACAACAAATTACAATTTATTAAGTATACAAAAAATTTCAGCGGAAAATTAGTTAAACATCAGATATTTAAATAGAACAAATAGATTATATATTACAACGATTTTAAATTTAACAACTATTAAGAATCAAAAATCTCTGTTCTAAAAAAATATTCCATTGAAAATTAGCAAAACTGAACAAAAAATAATTATTTTCCAACAAATTTTACACTTAAAAATATTAAATATCCAAAATTTATGTGCATAGTGCGGACAACGGATCTAGTATATAATAATGAAACAAAATACCAACAGGTCCACTGTAACACACATGTTAATTTCAATCTGTGAAATCCGGGTTCGAAGCCCGGCAGCGGGAAAACATTTTTTTGTTGTTGTAAGGAGGTAAGTTTTAAATAAAAATAATTATTCCGGTTTAGACCATCTCCAATGGTTTCTCTCATTTTTTTCCCTCAAAATAAGATTGTGATTTGCTCAAATGGTTCTCCTCATTTTCTCTTTCAATTACTATTATATTCTTTCTTCAACTTCTTATTTATTGCAAATAACACATCTTATTTCATAAGATTTTATATTACACTCACTTATATTTAAATTCTATAATGTAATCAAATTTTAACTTATAAAACGTAAATATTTACTACATTAGAAAAGATACATAATAACATACAATCTGAACAAACACGAATTTTACAGAAAATGGCTACACAACACAAAGACTAATTAAGTAACTCCTCATTCATCCACCACATTTAGTCAATATTTTAATGGTCTTGGTGGATTTGGAAATATTCTACCTGATTATTAAGTTATTTTAATCAATATTACATTAAGTCTGTCTTATGTTTAAAGTTGTTACATGTTGTATTAAGTTTGTTGTGTTTTTCTTAACTTTGTATTATTAATGGTATTATTATTTATTTTATTTTCTTTAATTATATATTATAATTTATAAAATTATAAATTATATTTTAATAACTAATTATTGGTACTTATCTTTTAAGAAGTATAATTTATATACATATATATTAGATAAAAAGTTAAAAAAAATTATATTGAGTGTTAATGTTTTGATATGCAGAAAATAAAAGACTGTCAAAAGGTAAAAGACTATCATGTAAATAAAAAAAACTTGACATCAAAATGAGGTTAAAAAAACAGAACCAAACCCTAGAAAGTAGCCGCCGTTCATTCTCCTCTGCTCCGTTGGTCGGTGCTTCTCACCGCCGCCGGGAGCGGCTCCATCTCTCTTTCCCTTAGGTCTCTATGTCTTTGTTTCCGGTAAAGCATCACCGTTTTCAGTTTGGTTCCAGATCTGAGTTAACAGATGGATTGGATGACTCTGGTCATAGATCTTGTTCGTTGCCGCTTAGATGGGTTATTTCTCTTAGGTTGGAGGCGCTTCATTCTCCGGAGACCTCGTCGGAGCCCGTCTCGTCGCCCCCACTCGGCATCTAAGCAACAAGACGGAGGAGCAGTCTTCTGGCGTCGTCTAGGTGGTACCTCTCTCCTCTTCGCGGTTCGGTTAGGTCTCTGGCGTGGAAGACCTCGAGGTGAGCATTTGTATTTTTCATGGAGCTGTCTTGGGTTGGCGAGGTAAAGCTGTGTCCTTTGGTGGTGTTGTTTTTTTGGCCTTGTTGATGTCTGGCTAGTTTAGTTTTGGCTTTTTCTGCATTTGGAGTCTTAGTGAAGCAGTAGAAGCCTATCCGACGGGTTATATGGAAAGTTTGTGTAATCCGGGATTGATGTACCTAGTGTTCGTTTGGCTCAATAGTCGGCCGTGTTCTGCTCATGAGCGGGTACTTCCACTCCTTCTTGTCTCCTTGAATAGTTGACGTTTCCTGTTTGTCAAGGTCTTGTGGTTAGGGTTCGACTTTTGGATGGTATATTATTGTGGAGCCATCTACTTGCTTCTTCTCTTGAGAGAACATGGCCATCTTTTTGCTTGTAGATGGTGGAGTATGGGTACACTAGGGTTCGTGTGTATGAGCTGCTGATCTTTCTATCTGGTGTCCCCTCTTCGAGTTTCAAGGTTCCACCTTGTGCCTTGGTCTCTCAGGGTCGTTGGCGTTTTGTTGCAGATGTGATGTGAGTGGTCTTTGTCTCCATGTCTGATTCAGTTTGGCGTTGTGGTTTCTGCCGGATTAGATTCATGTGGGATTTTGGTTATGCATATATGGTTGTGGTTTCCTCAAGTCCTTGTTTGGTTCTTATGTTTCTTAATCCGTGCTTGTTTCGGTTGACGTATGCGTGGAGCTTGGAAGTCTTTTGGTTGAAGGTTGTGCTCTATTTTTTCTATTTTTAGTTGTATCCTTTTCTGTGGTGTTGTTGTTTTATCGGTATGGTTGTCTTGCCTGTATGGTTTGTAACAATTGTACCTTCAACTTTCGTTTAATGCAATTCATAGATGACAAAAAAAAAATGAGGTTGTGAATAGTATTTTTTCATATTTGAGGAAATATTGTTCATATTCTTATTTTTTCCCTTAAAATGAAGTACAATTAGAGATGCATTTCTCTCATTTTTTTTATGTTTTTTCTTTATTTTGAGGTGCCATTGGAGATGTTCTTAAGCTGCATGGGTAAAAAAATGTAATTTTTCTCCTAATTATTTTTGACCCAATTGGACAGCACACTTAATCAAACAACCAACAGTGAGGATGTTTCTGAGGCAAAGGAGAGGCTTTCTATCTAAACCCTGATTAGCCTATTTAACATCTCTTTGTGATGGGCCTTTCCCAAAACGTTTTATATATTTATAGAAATACTAATGAAACCAAGTACCAACAGATCCGTTGTAGCACACAGGCTAACATCGATTTGATGAAATCCTGGCTCAAAGCCTGACAGCGGAAAATCATTTTTTTTTGTAAAATGCTAATTTTAAAATAAAATCAATTATTCTGGTTTAGGCTGCATGGGTAAGAAAAGGTAATTTTTTCTCCTAATTCTTTTTTTGACTCGTTTGGGACAGTCCACTTAATCAAGGAACCAAAATTGATCACAGTTTTTCTATCTTTCCTTTTTTTAGATTACAATAGATATTTCATGAATTTTTATAAAACATGTCTGTTTCTAAAAAATTATAATAATTATGCATAAATGATGTTATTATGATAAGATTAATATCATACTAGTAACTTTAACTATATTATGTATGTTTTAGTAATCCATATATTATTTTATTTTTATTTTCTAAACAAAATAAAAATATAATTATACATTAAAATGTAAGAAAATAAAAATTTAATGAATTATAAGTTGTACATATAAGTTGTATTAAAGTGAAATATATATTTGGTAAGAATAATTATTTTGTTTTTAGATGTTTTAATTACATGGATTTTGAAAATCTCATAGATACATATGATATTTTGAAAGTTATGTTTTATATGTAAAAAAGTAGAGAATTCATCTTCCAATAATACAAGATTAATTAGTTAGAATTCGAGAATCAAAAATGACTAAACTTTTTGAATAACAAAAGATTTGAATAGATTTTGAAAATTCTTAAACTAATAACAAGGGATTTACTAAACGTTTAAAAATTCATGAACTTTTTTTATAACGCTGATTTACTATAATATTACAATTATGAGAAATATTACATAGATGACTCGACAACCCCACTTTGAACCAGATTTTCTTACAATATGTTGAAGATTCTTTGTAAACTTTTTTCTTTGTAGTCTGCATTAATAAATCGATTTCTCCGGGACTTGAAAGTTAAATTTGCTGTAATCTACAGAAATTGCATAACCTGAGTTCGAACCGTAGATCCATAGAAGTCTTTTAAATTTTAAATAGTACGCTACGTGTTTCCTCAAAAGTTCATGGACTAATTTCTCCCAAATCTGATTGGCCCATTTAAAATCTCTTTCTGATGGGCCTTTCCCAAAACTTTTCTTTATATAACTACTAATGTCATTAAGAACCAACTGATCCGCTGTAGCACACAGGCCAACATCGTGTCGATGAAATCCGGGTTCGACCCCGGCAGCGGAATAAATATTTTTTTTTCAAAACCGAAAATACCAATAATTAAGTCGGTTTGATATTAACGACGGCGAGAACTTTAGGGTTCATTGCTTTCTTCCTTCCATGGAGAATCCTAAGATCACAAAACATCCTCACCGAATCGCCGAACCAAGGATGATGAAGAAGAAGAGAATGAAAGTTGAATCTCTCACATCTCTTAACAATCTCGATGATGGTTGCCTCATGCACATCCTCAGCTTTCTCTCTCCAATTCCAGGTAAATTTTGTTCCCTTTATACACATTTAACGATACTCTTATGTTTCTCTGTTCAGTTTTGCTCTTGATTGATTCATTGATTGTAATGTCTTTCCCAATTAGAATTAACACCAACTCAATTACGGTTTTCCCAATTTGAATTAACACCAACTCAATTACGGTTCTGTAGCTCAAAGTTTTAAACTTTTAGACTCATAATTGCGTTTTTGAAACTCCCCAGATCATATTCAGACCACAGTTAAGACTCAAAGTTGTGACTTTTAACTTCTTGCAGATCATATTCAGACCACAGTTACGGTTCTGTAGCTCAAAAATTGAAACTTTAGCCTCAAATTTGCAATTTATAATCTCCCTAGATCATATTCAGACAACAATTGCGGTTATGTAGGTTTATATCAGTGTAACTTCATTAGTCAGACAGCTTTTTTATTGGACTCATATGTTTTTTTTATCAGTATTGTCTTGTCTGAAACTTTGAAAATTTCTCTTTTTTTTTGTTTGCAGTAGACTTGACTTTTTTGGTTGAGTAATTGGGCATTTTTATTGCACATTGTAATGTGTTTTTCAGTGCCTTTTTTTTGTGTATCTCGTATGAGTTTGCAGATAGGTATAACACAGCACTCGTTTGCCACAGATGGAGATATCTGGCTTGTCACCCTCGCTTGTGGCTACGAGTTGACCCTCTTGTGAAGGATCTATCTCTGCCTGGAGTTTTCCACAGCATTGAGTCAGCTGTATCTGCTGCAAGGTTTGTTGAAACTATCTGTTATATTAGTAGAAGAAGAGTCAGCTAAATTCCTGACCAGTTTTATCACCTCTAGACCTGGTGATACTATTTTAATAGGACCTGGTGGGAATCATCACGTTTCTAATATTCAGATTAACAAGCCTATTTGCCTGGTATGTGACTATCATCATATATTTCTAGTCTAATTGCTTGGTAATTCATGGAAGTTTTAGCATTTTTGTGATATTTAAATTTCTATAGAATTACTGAAGTATCAATGTGAGTTAGTCTTTCCACATGCTTCTTTAATGCATAAAAAACTATGTTTTACATCTTCAACAGTTTTGGCAAAAAGTAAAATATGAAAGTGTTCAAACCAACCTCTCTGTAGTGTAAAAGTAAATATTTTATATCGAAAAACATGTGAATGAATAGTCAGCTATTTATTTCTGATGAGAGCATGGAGATCCTCTCCATTGTTGTAGCTCTTGTTAAGGGAGATAAATATGCATTGAAGAGATTCAAAACAGAATAACCGCACATTTTTAGGTAGCTTATACTGTCATACAATTATATACAGAATGGAAATTATGCCCTAGCTGTTTGTGAGTTTGTAAATTCTTTTCAGTGTTGCTTCCAAGTCACCATGAATACTAATGAATGTGAAAGCAATAAAAACTTGAGAAAAAAAAATTCCTTAACCGTGATGATGTGTGGAGGACTCGAAGAGAAGGTCTGCTTTTGAGTCTTCAATCCATTGATTACTGGGTTCTCCCCCACCTGCGTTTTAGTAATCCTCATTTTCTTAATATTGGACAACACATGGAAAGATAGGAAGCTGTAATAAAAAGCAATTCAAAGTATAACATGATGTAGTAGGATGAATAGATGGGAGTTTCAGAATATGGATGATAGTTATTTAAGTACTACCCTACTGATGTATGCACATTAGAGTGCTTCACCGGGTCAGGGGGTTGCCTTATCAGTGACATCTTTAGTTGCAGTTAAGTGGAAGACTCAATGTCTTGGGGGTTGGGGCTGAAATAGTAGTTACTTCTTTGCTGAGGAATGGGTGGTATGATGCTAAGGCATAAGTACCAGTGTTCAATGAATCAAATAGTATCTCATCTTTGCTGTCTTCAGATTGGTGGTGGCGAGATTCCTGATGAAACCACCCTTGTATGTTCTAGAGGATCAGACAGGTGTGGAGCTCATATTCCTTTTTTCAGTCTTTTCTTTCACTCTGCAGTTTTCTTCTTTTAAATGCTTCATTGGAGGTTTAGCGTTCTAGAAGTTGCTGCTTAACGCATTTGCATCGAAAGTTCTTTGGTATACGGCTTTTTGTGGTTGGGTTTCTTTTGCAGTGCCCTGGAGCTACTATCAACCTGCAAGCTAGCGAATCTAACAGTAAAAGCAGAGCTTGGTTGCTGCTTGCTTCACAGAAGTGGAAGGCTAACGATTGATGGATGTGTGCTTCAATGTGAAACAAACCCTTTGGATCATCTCTCATGCCCAATCGTGAGCACTGCTGGAGGAGATGAAGATAACTTAAGCCCTGTGGAAGTGAAGGAAACTGTTGTTGAAAAGGTTAAGGGAAACAGTGTGACTGTTTTGCAGACAAGGATAGAAGGAGGTGCAAAGGCTGTTGCAACAAGTGGAGACTTGGTACTGCAGCGTGTTCGAGTCATGTACTCGAAGGCTTACCTCTATTTCTGGTTTGATGTGGATCATGAGTGAAAGTGATCTCTCTGTTGTATGTTAGATTAATTACTTCAACCTTTTTCTTCAACCTGTAACATTAGTAATCTGTGGGATGGTGGTCATCTATCATCTCCATTTATACTTTATTTTATATTTCCTTTTAAGACATTTCATTATACTAATAATACAATTTTATTAAATATCAGGTTTTGACTCGTCCTAAAAAATTTCAGTAATAATTAACAAATATTTTATTAATTATGTATTTGACTTTTTTTTTGCATATCAGTGTTAAAAATTCAACCCGAACCAATGATCTTCGATAATTCGATTTAGATTTTTAAAAATATTCATATTTAAAATATACATCGAGACCAACTGATTTATCGATTTAGATTTTTAAAAATATTCATATTTAAAATATACATCGAGACCAACTGATTGAACCGATAGATAATCGATATGTAATATTTAAATTTGTAAAATTAAGTTATATTTATTTCTTGTTATGTGATAAATTATTTGAATTTTTAAAAAATTTAATATATCTAAATAACTTGAAAGAAAATTGTTAGTAATTATTGAAGGATAAGAGCTAATATTTTATATTTTTTGGACACAAGATTGATTATAGTGTTATTTGGAAATATTGATAGTAGTATAAAGAAATGAATATATTGTTTAGAAACATAGATACTAATATAAAAAATGAATATTAGTGATTTAGTGTAGATTAAACTATAAAGTAGAAAAGTGTATTTAATTTAAAATTTTATAAAATAAAAGTTGGTCCAACACAATATTTCTGTTGTAATAAAAAAAAATATTTTATTTTTTTGTATTAAGCTTTGATGCTATAAGTTTGTGTGTGATTTATGTGAGGATTGGATTTAAAACTCATGGCTCGTTGATGATTTTGTCACATGACCCCAAACTCAATAGTAATAAATAATATAGCATTTTAACGGATACATTAAGAAAATAAAGTTTTTTTTTTGGAAACCATAGCAATCATTTGAAGTTTGATGTAAACCAAGATAAAGATAAGCCCGGTTTGGAACCGTCCACATCTGAAAACATTTTTGATCACTCTTCTCTTTCTCCTTCAACACCATCATCTTTGCCTTGCACTTTCTTGTAGACGAATCGGTTAGCCATAAACAAGTAAAAGCAGAGACTCGCAGCGTTAAGCGACGCGATTACCCAATAGTAATAATCAAGATGTGCTCTGTTAAGGTTGTTGACTAGCCATTCATCACCATGGCTTTTGCTGATTGTCTGAACAGCAGATATGATCCCAGTACTAACAAAGCTCCCAACTCCAACGACGCTCATGAAGATGGCAGCACCGATACTTCTCATAGTTTCAGGCATTTGATCATAGAAAAGCTCTTGCATACCAACAATAGTGAATACATCCCCAATACCCACTAGTATGTATTGTGGAAGTAACCACAAGCTACTCATTGGAACAACAACTTTTGGAGAGTCAATTAGTCCATGGTCTCTCGCAACTCTAAGTCTCCTTGCCTCCACAAGCCCACACACCATCTGTTGGAAAACACAACTTCATAAGTTTCATTTTAAAGGTAATAAAATTTGAGGAATATAAGCTCCCACATGGGATATGAGTAGTATATATGAGACTTATACCAATGCACTTACAATCAATTGCTTTTAAGTTGGAAATTCAAAACATTTAATATGGTATTAGAGCCCAACCCGAAACCAAATCGATCAAGTCCATCGGAAGAGGTATTTTCAAATTGTCTAACCAAACCAAATTATAGACTGGATATTGTCAAGATTAATAGTTATATACACACTGTTTTTCTGAGGGGATATGTGAATATAAACTCCTATAACTAGAGTTTTAATGTGACATAAATAATATATGAGTGACTTAAACCAGTTCATTATAACCGGTTGATTTTAAGTTAGGATCTCAAAAATTTTAACATGTGAGAATATAAGTTGCCACATAGAAACTTTTAATGTGTGAGTTTATATTATCACATGAAAGACCTTAAGAACAAAATGTATGAGCACCTCCACTGAAATATCTCAACATAGGGTTCTCAACCAAATTAAAGTGTATATGTAGACAAATGTTTATATTTAAATAGAAGTATCTTAGGTTTTTTTATTATTTTGAAATACTCACATATATAATATGTATATTCCATAAATTTTTAAGAACTTTTTATGAGATATCCTCAATAAGGCTTTTCTTATAGTCTTCTATATTCAAAACCTAAAGTACTAGCAAAATATATGTTGAATGTTGTTAGGATAATACACTTTACCATATTGAAAGTAGCAATAAATAATCCGACGCCGATTCTCTGGAGAGATGTGATTCCAGAATGGTGATTTGTGATCTTCCTAGCTTTAGGAACAAAGACACGGTCGTAAATGGGAATGAAGATGAGTATAGTGACGCCTACAATGCTTTGGAAAGCAGCAGGAGGTATGGTGAAGTGATCACCAATGGTTCTATTCATCATGCTTCCTTGCTTTAAAAAGAACGTGTTGATCTGAGTAAGTGTGGCACAAAACATTATCAAGCTTATCCAAATCGGTACAAGCCTCAATATTAGCTTTACTTCTTCCACTTGGTTCACGGGACATAATCTCCATGGGTTTCTATTTTTGTTCGACGTATTATCAACTTCATCGATAACTGTAGCTTTGTCCAAGAATCTGCATTACGTAAAAATGATGTCATATGATAAGTGGTAGATATCATTATGTAGGTTTAATTTATATTATACTCCCTCTGTTTCAATATAAGTGTCACTCTACATCTATGCACACGGATTAAGGAAACAATTAATTTTACATATTTCCTATATAAAAACACAATTACCCACACACGTAACCATATTTTAACCAATAGAAAAACAAATTACATAATAAAATTAATAAATTTTGCATTGAAAACCGAAAACGACACTTATTTTGTAACACAAAAAATTCTCTACAACGACACTTAATATAAAACGGAGGGAGTACTATGTTTATTATTGGGTTATGACTCGGAACATTTTATTCAATGCTTTAAACCAGGACCCAGTGTCATTATCCATCTAACGATCATCATGACTAGGAACATGGCGTTGTACGATTTCATAAGTAAAATGTAATAATCATTAAAAATTATTTAATAGAATGTAATTATTAGTTCATTTCATTTTAAAAGTGTAGTTATAGTACAAGTTCAAATTAAGTGGCTTCACATGATTCCATGCACGTTCAAAGGAAGTACTCCGAATATTCTTAAATCTTCTTTTTCAACGTCTACAACACAATCCTCTCTACGATGTTTTATATTAATACGTATATGTATTTTTAAACCGTAGAAATACAGGTGTTACTCCAACGACTTGGTTCCAATTGGACTAAGTACTTTTAGGTCAATACTTTATGCCAATAGACTAACATTAAAATGCATATGATGTACCCCTAAAACGAACATGTTGGACCACTTTAGATGTCAATAAACAAACAGTTGTTGAAACTTGGCACTTGGGTGATCATATATAGAAATAAAGTAATTAAGCAAGTACCTGAATTGATTGGTTCTGGCAAGAAGATGAGCATTCGTTGACTCCGACGACTTGTCCTCCTCCGTGCCTTCCTCGTAGCATATGCCATAGTGGTGGCGTGTGGTGCTCAAACGCCATTTTTTAGAGGCGGCGACGATGACTTGAGCAACCCTCGTGAGAGGGCTTCCCACCGGAACTTGTTTCCGATATCTCGGAATACCGATCAGAAATATGAGTACAGCTATTGCTACACTCCCTGCTATTACGCTGAATCCTGCTAACCAACTTACTCGTTCCTGTGTAATTTATAAAGACAAAATGAAATAGTGTTACGTTTTCCAAAAGACTTTGGAAAACAATATTTGGATATCCTTTTTTGTTTCATGGTCTTCATTTTCCTATGTGATGGATATAAAATACCATAGACATATCATCAATCTTTCATGTAATTTTTTTCTTCAAGGAATTGGATTGTATTATATTCATATATAGTAACTAAATCATGTAATTTCCCTAATAAAGCTCAAATTACCGCCTACCAACTTTTGAACTTTGTATATATTTCTTAGAATAAAAGAAAAAAAATCCTGGTTTTTGCATAATTAGAAGTGAATATTTTAACCCTTTCTCAGAAAAAAAAGAAGTGAATGTTTTGCATAATAAGAAGAAAAAAAAAGATAGAGAAGTATTAGAATACCTGAATGAATATAAGGAGAAGAACAGCTATGGAAGAACCAAGGACGATGCACAAATACCAATAATTAAAGAATGATGTCTTCGTTGCCTTCTCCTCTGCACTATCCTCTCCGAACTGATCAGCCGCAAAGGTCATGACGCATGGCTTATGCCCTCCTTCTCCAACCGCCATCACATACAACGCCATAAAGAACGCTTTTTCTCTAAGCCGCGGTGCCACCACCGTTACCGACAATGGTAACATTACCATTCCCTAAAATTTTCAAAATCAACACTAATCATATATATATATATATATATATATTTTTTTTTTTTTTTGGTAAAATGTTAAATTTTAAAATGATCATATATATATATATATATATTTTTGGTAAAATGTTAAATTTTAAACCAAGTTTTTGTTTTTGACAGAATATAGTGGGATAAAGAAAAAGAACGAGAGATATGTGTGCAGACCAGGAGATAAACAAAGGACGACAAGAGAACGGTTTTAAAGCGGCCTAGAATTGAGTCAGCTAGAAACGCCCCGAGAATTGGGAAAAGGTAAGAAACGCCGAGCCATGTGTTGATGTGTTTGGCCGCGGTGGCCAAGGACTGGCCTAGCTCGTTCGTTAGAAATGTCATTAAGTTGCTTGCAAGTCCGTAGAACGCAAATCTCTCTGTCATCTCCACAACTACAAAGATTTGACGATAATAATTATAGGTACGTAAATGTACAAATGATCGGTCGAGATTCATAAGAAAATACAAATCTCATTTGATCTATTACCCATGATGAAAACGGCAGCGTTCCAGCCTCCTTTGGTTTCTTTGTTGATAATGAGGGAAGTAGAATCTGCCATGGCTCAGCAAATTTTGCTTGTGGAAGCTCCGAGAGATTGTTATGGGTGTATCTAGACGGTTTCCTATAGCTTGGGAGATTGTTCTGATCACGAAGTTGTCCTTTTATATTGTGAGATTTGACTCTAATCTCTAGGGAAAGCTTTTTTATTGTATGTGTTTCTTTACTTATTAACTGCATGTGATGAGAGTCTTTGGCGGAAAGTTTCCCAAAAGTATAGCATTATAAGGTTTAACTTCTAAAATGTATAATGATTGTGCCTAGATGTCTAATCCGTTCTGAATAATAAAATTAAAAATCTATATATTGTTTTTTTACAGTATATGCGATGTTGAATCTGGATGGAAGTATTACACATAAAAACAAAACAGGGTGCAAACCTACAAACTAAGGTTGTTGTCTTTTGATGTTGAGACTATAGCTAAACTAATCTAAATGATGTGTAAGCAAATCAAGGACTTTTATAATTGATTCTTCTATATCCAAAGACTTGAGAGGTAGATGACAAATTTTAATCTTTATTTACATCACCACTAGTCACTCAAGGCCAAAACCCAATACTAGCAAACTTCACTTCAGCTTGCAGCAATCCGATTTTAATGTAACTACTAAATTCAATTCTTATTGAATTGCGATGAAACTGACATAAATGAACAACTCTTATCTTTTTCTCGGCCTATCAAATTATATTTAATATACCGTTTGTATGGTTATCAACAAATCCGTCGTAGTCTAGCTGGTTAGGATACTCGGCTCTCACCCGAGAGACCCGGGTTCGAGTTCCGGCGACGGAGATTTTTTAATGTCCCATAGAATTTTTTTGAGGCTTCTCTTCCAGATTTAGATTTTAACCTAATTCAGTTTATTTCACACTTATCAACAAATCCGTCGTAGTCTAGCTGGTTAGGATACTCGGCTCTCACCCGAGAGACCTGGGTTCGAGGACCGGCGATGGAGTTTTTTGATGTCCCAGAGAAGTTTTATGAGCCAAAGAGTTGGTTCCACTTAATTATTATATCTTCTGGTATCAAGCAATTTTGAATTGCTTCTTTGGTTGTACAGTTGCCTCTCCAATATGCAGTGACATGGCTTTGATCGGTCTATCTACTATAATATTGTGTATTCTTTCTCTGATGCTCCTTTCTCATGTTCCTAACTCTATTGGTTGCTACAGAAGCTGCTTCCAGATTCCCAAAGAACGGAAGGGTATGTGAATCAGTCTAACCAAATAAAAGATGAGTTGGTGACATTCAGAAACAAGGATGGTGTACTAATATATACTTCCCCATTTAACCACCACCACAATCAGTTTTTTTTTTCTCTCAAAACTTGTCCTCAAAATTTATTATATACTTTGGTGCCTAACAGCAGATTCATGAGGTTTAGCTATAATTACTATACAACCCATGAACTTCATCGTGCAACACATGAAGAGGATCTTATCAAAGAACAAACCATCGAGGTAATAATCTTTTTTCTTGTCCACATTCTCTAGATCATTTCAAGAATCGATATCCATCGGTACTTTCGATGAGACGACTTTATGGAGCACTTGAGTACCAATTAGCCTCAGATTATTTGTTTGTGCTTGCATTTTAATGGTGTTTTATACTGTAGGTGGATCTAGACCGTAAACACATAGAGATTGAGGGAGACTGATGAGTGTCAACTAGTCAAAGTAAACCAATGGTTGGGAGCAAGAAGACATGGTATTATAATTGTTTGTAAGTTAATGGATTTGTTCCTCTACTAGTGTGACATGTGATAGTAATGGGTAGTTACTTTGTTTTCCTCCGTATTTATAGACATCGAGATATCTGGAATGGGGTATAGAAAAAAGAAAATTGCAGTAATTTGTTGCTTAAGACTTTGAGACCTATTAGAGACGATAGCTAGTCACCATGTGTTTCCAAGATAACTATCTTATTCAACCAGAACCATACTCATTCTCTCTCAGGTTGTGTCCAGTTACTGGAGCCACCACTTCAATCTTGGACATCTACAAAGATCAACTTCTTTACTAGAATCTATTCTTGCATATAAGTTGAATGTTAGTCATTTAGACTTCAAAGCAGGTTTGCTAACAATAAACTATGAAAACTACACTTTTACATTTTCTAATTACACTAAGATTATTTTTCTTAAAAGCTTATGCGCGTAGAACACACAAAGTGGGATAATGTGGCGAAAAAAGCCAATTTAGGCGGGTACTTTTCCAATAAATGGGGACCCACCCACTTAAAAAAAACTATAATAATTACATTTCCTTGCTGACTTTTTTACCATTACAGACATGTGACCACAAAACTCTGTAAAAGAAAATAAAAACCTTTTCATTTTCACTCTTCTGTATTGCTTCCATCTAGGGCTGGGCATTTTATCCGTTATATTTGATTCGATTCGTTATTCGTTTCGATTCGATCCGAAAATTCCGGATATCCGTAAACTTTCGAATCAAAGCAAATACTAAAATTCAATATCCGTTAAAATCGAAGCAAATCACAAATAGTAAAATTTTGGGAAGCGGATATCCGATCCGATCCGTAAATATATAAATATAT